GAGATGATGATGGCGACTGATTTTGATGCGATTTTGATTGATTTAAAAGATTCGCTAAGAGCAGGTCGGCCTCTTTATCCATCTCTTGATCAAACTCATCTTCTTCTGTGACGCTTTCTTTACGACTTTTAGAACGAGAGGGAGTCAACAATAATTGATTAGTATCATCTCCATTTTCTTCTAATGATTGATCTTTTTCTTCATCCTCTGAGCTACAGTGAAGAGAAGAATGGCTGCCATTAGAGGAGGGATTGTTAGGAGGTTTTACCTTCCTCCAGAGCAATCAGAATACTCTAGATCACTATCATCTTCAAGATAACCAGCAAAATGATCTCCTTTTAGTGGACCTCTTCCTAACTCCATGCGAGCGCACGTGACCATAGATATTAGATCTAATACACCACGCCCATAAATTAATTGTTTAACGTTTGCCGTTTTGGCTCAAGCATTGTCTAACATGGCGACTCCTACAGCTGCAGAGAAGTTTGAAAGCGTTTATGGAGACATTATAGACGTATTGAAGGTTGATCGACCGTCCTATCTGGTTGCTGCTAACCGGTTTTTTGCAAGGTACATAATAGAGGAGCCACTGAGAAAGCAGATATTTGATAGCAGTGGAGAAACTGCAGTAAAGCTGCTCTTGGATGGGTTGCATGCTGCCATTGAGAGGGACCCTAAGTATTTGGATGATGTCGTAGAAGTTTCAAGTGAAGGTCACCCATCACTGTGTGTTGCATTTAAAAAGATGAACGAAGAAGAAGGCAGTAATCCTGTTAGTGTGACCGCAGTATCAACAGTAACAAGTGCACCATGTTCAACTGAAACCTCGACTGAAACTCACATTCAATCTAATGAAGGTTAATACATGTATATGCACTTTATAAAGGGTATTCTACCATGCCACCTTGCGATTGACCAATCAGATTGCAGTATTGGAGGTCAATTATTTTTCATATTAACCTAGCTCGTAAAAATATAAACCTATCTCGTTAAATAATTAATTGATTGGCAGTTTGGTACTCTACGCTTATGCTCTTATTAGTCCATTTGTCAAGTTTGGTTGATTCTTTACTGGCCTAGCCTGTTAGATATGTTGTATGTATGTCAACTGTGGTCTTATTATCAGCAGCTGGTAGTTGTTTTTCAAGTGTCATGGTAGAAGTTGGTCCGATTTTCACGAAAATGAATCCGTGAAAATTGATTCAATACAGTTCAAGATGGCCAAAAAGTAGAAAACCACGAAAATTAAAGCCATGAAATTGATTTTTGAACAGATCCGTGAAATGTTTGGGCCACGAAAATTTTATACTATACGGTATTATGAATATTATTAATTATGTATATGTATGTGCATTGGGGCTTTCTTTCCATCTCTATAATTTTTTTATAGTTGTATCACTGCTGGAAGATCAAGTTCAGTCTAATCCTGATGCTGTCTTAGCTGTGAACGATCTGAGCAACAAATTTGATAGTCTCTATTCTCTTGCCTCTTCATCTTTACAGCATGTC